GTTGTAAATACCATCTACACACAATGATGATGGCTAAAAGGTGTTTGTTTATGTGATTATAGACGAAATGTATTAGAAGCTGTATTTCCTTGATTCCTTTCTGTGACACACTTGAAATAGGTGTTAGGCCAACATTTTAAAAATTAGGTTAAAGGTACTCATCCACCTCACAAAATCAGGTCACTTATTAACATACCTAAATATACTCTTAGTTGTGTAACTTTAGGCACCTGAGTTTTCAGATTTTGTCCTTTATACAGTACTAGATAAGCAGTCATGAAGGACTAGAGATGGTTCAGTGGTTCAATAAAAGTATAATTTGGATCAGAGTTCAAATCCCAATTCTAATCTGTCACTCTACACCAATTCCCCATGACTAGAAGGGTATGTCTAAATTTTGAGCTAGAGGTATATGTTCCAGCCTGAGGAGACTTATTTGTTTTTGCACTGATCAAACTAAAGTAAGTATAGTGGCAGCTGCGTGAGCAGCCAGATAGGTTAGCTATATGTTGCTGTCACATACCCACAGTGGCTGGCTCCTCTCACCAGGCATGTTGTCAGGGCTACACTCTATCTTTGGTATGCTAGTTGATCAGCACTAGTGTGGATATGTCTGCTCAAACGGTGAATTATACCATTAGGGCTTTACATGAGTTTTAGAGAGAACCATATCTAGTCTTTCAATAGTAAAAAGTTTGCTTGAAGTTAAAGTACCTGTGTATGTGTTTGCACATTCAGGGCTTTTCTCCTTAATGAATGCAAGTGGTCTTTCCATGCTAGAAAACATTTTGTTTGAGAAGAGTTGCAAATATTTGAAACAGTTTGCCTTTGAAAAGCACCATTTTTGACCGTTCACTGTAGCACATGGCTTAATATTTTTCACTGCATATTTCATAAGGTATTCATAAGAGGGTGTACCAACCATGCACTGGCGACGCAAGGCCACAAACTGCTTTGGGCCCAGGAGACCATGCATCTTTGTCCTCGTTGCACATGATCCCAGTAGAAGGAGCATTCCAAAGGGAGCCACTCTGCTTAGTCTGAGGAGGAGAGCGTCTGTATGTGCAAAAGTGTCTGTGTACAAAAGCCAACTGCTAGCAAGCTGCTGGGCAGCGGCGGATATAGGGCAGGGCAAGCGGGGCGACTGCCCCGGGCCCCGCGCTTCAATAGGCCCTGCGCACGCACTACTTCCTGACAGCTGTGGCCTTGGCGCATGCGCGAAATTGTGCTGCCCCGGACCCCGCGCTTCAATAGGCCCCACGCCCTGGGCCCCGCAAAACTCTCATCCGCCCCTGCTGCTGGGGCTGAGCCTTCAAGCTGTGCTCTGGGAATTCAGTTGCAGGCAGGAACCACAGGTTATGACCTACTGTTACAAGCAGAGGAGCTGCCAGAGAGAGAGCAAAAGGGGCATGAGGGAGGCCTGAGGAGATATTTGGACCCGAAGCCTGTGTCAGGGCACATGGCTTTAAAGTACCTTGGTTCAGAACTGGTGGAACCAGGGTGGGCATGTGTTCCCCTCCCCTCACAACTCTTGCCACTAGGCAATATTGCCACTAGGTGAAGCAGCCCTTTGTAATCTTGCCACTGAGTCGTTATTATCTTTGTAATACAGTAATTTCTCATTTAACACTATAGATATGTTTCAGAAAATGATTGTGAAGTCAAAACGTGTTATGTGGGGTCAACTTTCCCATTGAAAATAATGGAAAAGGTGGGGGTTGCGTTTCAAGCAGTGGTGTCTGTTGGGACCGGGACATAAGGTTGGGGGAAAAAGCGGACTGGGTTACAGCAGGGCGGGGAGGTGTTTGGGGAGGGGAGGGGGATTGGGTTGGGAGTATGCCCCTGTGACTGGTCTGCTGGGACCCGCACTGCATCCGGCAAGGGGAGTCAGCGGGGAATGGCTTGGCGAGCAGCAAACCCTCCATCGTTTTGCAGGGAGGCGGGGAAAGCCCTGCACAGCCGCCAGCGATGGACCGATTGGGGAAACCCAGCCTGCAAGCAGGGGCAGAGGAGAGGGGGCAAGGCGTCCGGCAAGGGGGAATCAGCAGGAACTGGCACAGCTAGTTGCCACTAGGTGAAGCGGCCCACGGGTCCCCACTGTTGGGCATTATATTCCAGAGCATCACTACTGGCAGCGTTGTCATCCTGGTATACAAAACCAGCATCTCCCAACAGAGCACATAGCATATTTATAAACCTTTTAAAAAGTTTACTTTCACTAGCAAAACAACTATTTTCAAAATGTCAACTGTGTTAGTTATCATGTATTAAAACTATAAGCGGCCCACGGGTCCCCACTGTTGGGCATTATATTCCAGAGCATCACTACTGGCAGCGTTGTCATCCTGGTATACAAAACCAGCATCTCCCAACAGAGCACATAGCATATTTATAAACCTTTTAAAAAGTTTACTTTCACTAGCAAAACAACTATTTTCAAAATGTCAACTGTGTTAGTTATCATGTATTAAAACTATAGCATAGACAAAGCAATTTGCATTTTAACTTGTGTTTAAAATATAGCCCTGGTTGGTTCCTACCAGTTAACTAATGTTAAAAAACAATGTCCCTGCCTCTATTGGGGTTTCAAGTAAGTTAACTAAGGGTATGTCTACACTACCCCGCTACTTCAAACTAGGGTGGTAATGTAGGCATACCGCACTTGCAAATGAAGCCCGGGATTTGAATTTCCCGGGCTTCATTTGCATAAGCCGGCCGGCGCCATTTTTAAATGCCGGCTTGTTCGAACCCCGTGCCGCGCGGCTACACGCGGCACGGGCTAGATAGTTCGAACTAGCAAACCATTCCGAACTATCTAGCCCGTGCCGCGTGTAGCCGCGCGGCACGGGGTTCGAACAAGCCGGCATTTAAAAATGGCGCCGGCCGGCTTATGCAAATGAAGCCCGGGAAATTCAAATCCCGGGCTTCATTTGCAAGTGCGGTATGCCTACATTACCACCCTAGTTCGAACTAGGGTGGTAGTGTAGACATACCCTAACACATTAGTTCACATATTTTGAAAATACTGTTTTCCCTAGCATGGACACAACCTGACTCAGGGAGAACATTGCTCAGCCCCCAGTTTTAACTCTGAAGATTTAGAAGTGCAGAATTTCAGTGGCAGAGAAATTATAAGGGTCACAATAAGTTACAAATGGAGGAAGAGATGCTGGATACTGCTATGTGCCTGAATGGCCTAGACTCATCTGGTTTTCAGAACTAAGCAGACTTGGATCAATAAGTAATAGGATGGGTGACAATCTGAGAATGCTATGCCTTCTAGGCTTGTTGATTTTTGGTATCAACAAGCTACAACCTCTTGAGAACTCATAACCACAGCAAGTTTGTGCATGGACTGTTCCTGTACCACAGGGGAAAATAAGCCTGTGGACTGCACACATCAGCTATACACAAGAGGGCAGCTTTCAGCCCAAGAGACTAGGCATCCTTGCCTTTCTCCATCCTTGTCTGCCTCCTACAACACTGCTTTTGGCACTTATGGTTTCACTTCTCATCACTTTGTTTTTCATATTCACATTCAGGTAATTTCCTGTAACAAAACTCCATTGCACAATTGAAAATAGCGACATAAATGTCAGGAAATAGTCACTTAAAACTATCCCCTTTCCAGGACAACTCTCTTTGGGTAAGCTTTGATCAATTCTCCTGCTAATCTGGAGTATCCAAAGTTCCATTTTTTTGTAGCTTATAATATTTGGTGTTGCCAAATACAGCTCTTTCTCATAACAAAATGAAAGATGGAGGGATCTTTATTCAGTATTTATGATGGATTGCAGTAAATATGGCAGTTCTTGTTTCTTCTTCTGGTATAAAACAGGGCAATTTTCAGTATACAATACACAGTTTCCATGACACAGGATTTTTTTGTGAAAAATATCCCAGAGATTGTATAATCATATATTCTGAACTAGCTGGAGTTACCTGGCGTTGCTCAGGAAACTGGAGGAACAAAATGTAGAAAAACAGTAGTCCATTATCTTTCTTTGAATGGTAGAAAAGTTGCACTGATTTCTATAGGGATTAAAATATAGGTCCGTGTAATCCCCGGGGGGGGGTGACCCCGAGTGGAGGGGAGGTTACATGCGGGAGGGGCACCCCAGCTTGTGCCTGGGGCTGCAGGGGCTGCGGGGG